CTGCCTCCGCGATGGTCATGTTCCTCTGGCTATGTGGACACTTCACCTCCAGCAGGGCAGATGGCTGCACAAGTCCATCGGGTGATGCTCCCAAAACACCCGACTCACTCACAAAGAGACCAGACTCGAACACTGTCACCCGATAGACCTGCACAAAAGCCTTCACCCCTTCGGCCTCGTTTCCAACCCCCCAGTTGACAGCCATGACTCCGTCCAAGTTGTACCCCCCAAGCACCCTCTTCATGAGGGACGCGCATGGAGTGGATGAAAGTCCCGACCGCAGCACAGCACCAACATTGCTGGCTGTCAACCTGCCCCGCCTGTGTAACTGCCACTGAGGATTTGTCCGCTGTCCTACGGTGGCTGTCTGGATGGCAGATTGCTGGTCTCTGCTCAGTCGCATTGAGGCAAGAATTGCCTCAAGCCCCCGACCCCCATGCTCCTTCACCAGCTCCGGCACGGTGACAATGGCCTGATGTTGAGGCCGCGGCTCTGGCTCAGGTGACAAAAACCATGCCATGCCACACTGTGCGCCCCTCAGTGCAGACCTGAACCAGTCTACATCCTCAGTGGCTATGTCTCTGGCCAGTGGGTTGTATGTCTCCTCTCGCTGTTGGTAAAGTTGAAACACCGGCTGGACTACTTTTGAAGTGCCAGGCTTCCTCCACTGGCACTCAACATCTGTGGAGCTGATCTGCCACATGGCAAATATTGCCAATGCTGCGGCGTGGCTGTATTTGTACATCCCCCGTGCACAATCACAGACAGCGCTCTGCATCGCGCCATCGTCTCCCATGCAGATCTGTAAAAATAAAGTAAGTACCATTTGTTAGCATGCTATAATAGATTGAATGAGCAATAATACAAGGATGGTCCGGATCTGGGGGTGGGAGGTTTATTTTTCCATAGTTTTGTCCTCTTGTCTGATTGTTGTTATTGTTTATTTTTTCTGTATTTTTTGTAATTTGTGTTGTATTCGTTGTGATTGTACATTGTATTTTTCTAAATGTGTATGAATACATTTTTGAAAAACATTTGATCAACAAAAAAAAAGGATTTGGTCAGGATCTAGACTCAGTGTGTAGTTTATTAATTAATCAATGCTCTCTACATTAGGAAAACACATACCGGTGTACCAGAGGGAGTCACACAGAGCTGTGCCAAGATAACCAAACAAATTGACAAGAAAACAAAAATCCTTGGATCTACACACAGCAAATAAACTCAAATGACACAACGAGATGTAAAAGGAGATCACACATACAGTATAGTCGATATAAAACTGGCCGCTTCAATCTGAAGAGCAACTAAAACAAAACACGGCATACACAGAGACCACGAAGTTCTTAAGGAGAAAACGAGTTGCTAAAACAAAAACACGTTAGTGTACCTTGTTAGCTAATGTTAGCTAGCTGACATTAACGTTAAACATTGCACTCATATTACTCACCGAAACCTTGTAAAGCCGGTCCCGCTGCTCTTACAGAACCGACTAACTCCACTTTCGTGTATGTACAGCTCTCAACATGCCCAGACTTGTAGTGATTTTCACCTCGTTTTATACTTTTCGCCTCATTCTGAAAGAAACGGGTGAAATTTGCTAACGTGACGGCCATCTTTGTGATGGTGACTCGTATTGTGCGAGACCAGAGACCTGTAGTTCACTGAGCGGTTTCACACAAAAAAAATGTGTAACTTCACAGTTTTATGACACATTTTTATTTTTTTGACTTGCAAAATGTTCTTTTAAATTGACAAACATCATAGGAGTCATTCGTGGCACAATTCAAAGGGGATCAAAAGATACCTTTTCTCTCTCCATTGACTTCAATGTATAATTTTCCGCTTCCGGGGTCCCATGGAGGCTCCCGGAAGGGGAGGGACTTCGCCTCTCTATAGGCATTTTCCACCGAGAATAAAACGAAGTTCGGTCATGTTTTTTTTTCTGCAGGGAGAAATTTGAAGATCACGTGACATAGACGCCAGCCATTGGAATGAATGGAATTGCAGTTGGAGGTCAACCAATCACAGAGCTTGAGAACTAATCACGGGGCTTGGTGTAGTCCTAAACGATAGCTGGGGATTCTGAGTAATGTAGTGTCTTCTGCCATCCTTTACTCCGAAAAAATATTTGTTTCTCCGAATCGAAGGGGAAAAATACAAAAGCATTGCACACAATTTAAACCAATCAATGTTGTGTAAGGATAATCTGGTGTTTTTTAGTCGATGAGTAGTGCAGATATCACTGTAAAATCAATCGACAGTAAGGGGAATACTCACTTCCTGGTGTACAATTCTCCGTTATCCAATGGGAATGGACGCTCACATTGCCTTTAAGGGCAGCAGACACAAACGAATGCGTGCTTCCATGAGCGTCAAATCCCGCCGCAGATGGGAATACATTGCAATCAGTTGAAAGCTATTTGCGTCCCTTTATGAAGCATAAGGAGCCTAGGAGCGTCATAACTGCATGCCACGGGACCCTGACCAAGCGTCACTCCTGGACGATTATGGAGTGAGAGTGTGTTGACCAGGCAGCAAATCAACAAGGCAGGTTCAGCCTCAGCTAATGCTGGCACCTGTGTTCAATTAGCTTGCAACAGGTGGGCCTCGTTGAGACTTGTCTAACATCTACAAAGTAAGCCCTGTATATTGATCTTGTAGATCGGGGGTGCCCAATACGTCAATCGCAAAGGTAGTGTGGGTAGATTGCATGGCATTGAAGCGCAAATCCGGCGCACCTTTATGCGCTTAAGAGGCGCTATTGGTGTAATCGCTCCACAGTTTCTCCGCCGCTGTGAGGTTCTGGCACTCGCAGTTCACTAGCACCGTTGGTTTCAAAGGCATACCAACTATTACAAATCCAATCCACTTTATTTGTATAGCACATATTAAAAACAGAGGGTTTACCAAAGTGCTTCAAACCAAACATAACATTATAATAATATAACATTAATATAATATTACAATAATAGATGAAAGGCACACATGAGAAAAGATAAAAGGATAAAAAGCACACATAGGAATGAATACACGGTACATAAAGGCTATGGACATAATAAAAGCATACAAATCGATAAAACATAGCTCAGACTGACTCAAAAGCGAGGGAAAAGAGGTGGGTCTTTAGGCGAGACTTCAAAGTTTGGAGGGTGGGCGACAATTTGACATGGGGGGGCAGGTCGATCCAGAGCCTGGGGGCTACCACTGAGAAGGCTCGATATACAAACTGTTCAACCTACAGAGATGACAAAAAGTGTTCTTCCAAATACAAAAAGCCTCTGTATACGCTGTCTCGCAAACACCTTGGTTGGTTTTAGGGACTACCAGCAGCAGCTGAAGCAAAATAAAGTCACAAGAATAATAGAGACATAACAATACAGTATTTATTTGGGAATGGCTAATATACTTGTTGATGGCCAAACATTTCATAGAAGTAACACAACTCTGCTCACATTTCAGGGTTTTCTTTGACTTAGCCTACTTAAGAGGGAAAATATCTTTCAATATAAAATTATTTTTACGATAAGCTTCTTAACAATTACTATCATGTTTACACAACAGTAGACTAAATACAACTCATATGATGTAATTAGGACACTTATAAAATAGAAAAACATATTTTCTATATTGCTCCAATACTTTAAATGTAGATTAGAGGGTTGTGTTGATAAAACACAAGAACAGCCAAAGAGAATGGAAAGAAAACGTGGAAATATACCAAGAATGTGTACACATCCTCAATGGCTAACCTATTGTATTTAAAAGATGTTCTCACCTCAAGTATTCTTAATAGAAGACATTCCCCATTGTTATTTTCCCCAACTTGACAGGAAAGGGGAAAAAAACGAGAAATTAATTATTTCCCCCAAATCTTTATTCACGAAGCGGTATACAAGTTGTATTCAAAAGTATACAAACAACTTTGCACAAGCTTGAGAATGCAAAGCCCATTAAGTCCTTTCAGAGTTCAAATAAAAATATCCCCCGATTCTTGGTTCTTCATAATTTTGTGTAATGTATCATACGGTTTGATTTCGATAAACCAATGAATGCAAGGGAAGAGTCTGACTATTTTGATTTGTTAATTTACATTGACCCACAATTATATGTATAATAATGCTTTCCCTTATTTAGAAGACAATATATTTATCTTCACATCAAGGAAAGTCAATCAGACGGTAACGGGATGGTGAACATGCATCAGTGTCCCAGCCTGACTTGGACCAGAGATGTCATTTCATGGTTAGATCCATAATTTGAAAGAAACAATACACAGGTGTTAAGGACACCCTGTATGATAAAAGGTTTTGCTTCTATCATTGTTGAAATTTCACTTGAATAGTTAAAGATCTCACCTGTGAAGTCATTTTTAGTTGTATGAAGGCTACTTTTATAATATAACATCTACATGTGTAGTTTTAAAACGTATGACCTAGTGTTTGACCAAATATTTAGTAATGCTTACTCCAGTTTACAAAACCAAAAAGAGACAAATGCTGAAGGTTCAATGTTTTGCAGAACTGCCCAAAGTTGCAAATGCTCCATTTCAGAGTTGGTGTATGGAATGAGTGAAGCCAGCATCCCTCACACAGCAGATGTTAAGTATTTTAGGAAAGGACATGATGGAACTGTACCTTTGACTGAAATACATTTTCGAAAATACAACCCTTTTAAAGCTTGTTCATACAAGGAAAGCTAGCGTGAACACAAAATGTTCCAATTCAAAACCTAAGAAATGGTTGAGCAATGATGCCACCATGTGGACACAAAGCCACACTATGACAACACTTAAAATGCTAAACATTAATTACATTTATAAATGTAGGAATTTAAAGTGTGCACTTTAAGTTTAAGCACAATTTTTCCGTTTAAATTAAATGTCATTTTCTCAATATGGACTGTTCACTCATTCACAAACCAAATGAGACTTCTTGAAGAGCCTGGAATAAAGAGTCTCTTGGGTACTTGAAGGTTAACAAAAGCACACACTATAAGCGTCTCTGTTCAACATTTTTATTAGAACTGTTTAAGTAAGGTGCATGGAGGAGGAAAAGGAGGCAGCATTGTTATGGGCAAGTGAACATGGGGATGAAAAGGAGAATGGGGTGCCGGAGTGGGCGGGTGATCTGGTTTCACAGTGGTTGCTGGAGGGATTGAATATTGGGGATAGGGAGGGATCATAGGGTAAAGATGATAGTAAGGCATAGATGGTGGAAGCTGCAATGAGGGATTTTTAGCCTTTAGTTTAGTTGTTGCCGCAGTAGATTTTGGCTTTTTAGCTGGATATTTGGGAGGATTAAAGGGAGGATACATTGGCATATATTGTGGAAACGGCATATGAGCGTATTGAGGCATCCGAGGGTATTCAGGCATCAGAGTCAGTGAAGGAATTTGAAGGAATTTGAGTCGCCTTTGCAGTTGTAGGCCGTGTGGTCGTTGTCTCGGACATCTTAGGGCTTTGAGTTATCTGAGGGTTTTGAGGCATTGGAGGGTTTGGAGGCATCGGAGGGTTTTGAGGCATCGGAGGGTTTTGAGGCATCGGAGGGTTTTGAGGCATCGGAGGGTTTTGAGGCATCGGAGGGTTTTGAGGCATCGGAAGGTTTTGAGGCATCGGAAGGTTTTGAGGCATCGGAGGGTTTTGATGCATCGGAGGGTTTTGAGGCATCTGAGGCATCTCAGGGCATTGAGGAATCCGAGCCATCGGAGGGTAATGAGCCATCGGAGGGTTTTGAGGCATCGGAGGGTTTTGAGGCATCGGAGGGTTTTGAGGCATCGGAGGGTTTTGAGGCATCGGAGGCATCTCAGGGCATTGAGGCATCTCAGGGCATTGAGGCATCTCAGGGCATTGAGGCATCTCAGGGCATTGAGGCATCTCAGGGCATTGAGGCATCTGAGGCAGTGCAGGAATTTTAGGAATTTGAGTTGCCTTTGCAGTTATAGGCCGTGTGGTCGTTGCTGTTGTTTTCTCGGGCATCTTAGGGTATTGAGGCATCCGAGGTACAGGGGAATGGGGGGAAGTCATTTTGGAAGCAGGAGGTGCAGCAGTAGTTGCGGCAGGAGGTGCAGCAGGTTTGGAACACCAGAGAGAGACTGGAATTCCTTGCCAACGCATCGAGAGTACATAACTTCCACCCTTTGGGAGAAAAACATACAATTAGAAACAGCAAGGAATCACACAAACCTGTCAATGTTACAATCCGACTGTAAAAGGCAAAAGATTAATCTCATGCTATATTTTCTAAATATGATGCAATATATTTGAATATCGGTCCCCATCCAAAAAACATAGTTAATCACTACATCTGAAAGCAAGCAAAAAACAACTCGCATTTGAAAAGCTGAAAACACATTTTCGCTTGAGATCAATACAATTGCAGATTAATCATTTTATTATTTTGGCTAATCGTTACACCATTCATGACTATAACAATTCACAGCACTAGCCATTGTTTTTTTAAACTCACTTCCTCACTCATTAAGTCAGTTTCACATTACCTCTTGAACCATGTTGCAGCCATCATAGGGAACCAACATGACAAGTGCATGTGAGTTCCTCTGCATGCTGTAGCCACAGGTAGACGGGACCTGGGACAGAGGCATTGGAGGTGCATTTCCTGTGGGGTAAAAAAGTTCAGTTTTTATATCATTGGTAGAGATAAATCAAGTCTACATTTAGGATATTATGGCTATTGATTTACCTTGTTCTACCGCAAATTGTGATGCTCCTGGTTCCACCGCTCTGAACTTCAACTTGCCCAAACCACACTGCAGTGAGGGCGACATGTTCTTCCATGACGAGTCTTTTGGACTGGCGACTTGTGTTGGGCTCATCCAGCCTGAAGGCCAATATAATATATATATATATTTTTTAATAATTTGTACTTTAAAAGAGAAGCAAAACAGTTCAAGCAAAAACAACAAACCATTCATTTTGTAATCAAAATATTTGTACCTGCAAAGTCTCCTTGATAAGCATCCTCATAAGCGTTTGAGGATGACTTCTTGGTCCCGTCTGTGACTTGAGAATCAAGTCCTGAGCCTTTTTCAAAAGCTATCCCAAAAACAATTGTCCCCTCTTGGAACCCATTTGTTGTATCGACATATTTTCTCTCTTCTCGTCTTTCTGTTTTCTTCAGACGATAACAGTCTATAGTTTGCGCAAAATAACACGTCAGAATAACAGCTGCAGCCAGGTAAACACCAGTGCCTTTTCTCTTGCTTATCATCCTGTTGCACATGACTGCTGGTAATGTGAGGAGATGAGATAACTTTCTTTGCCGCAACTATTTGAGCATCAGCAGGTGCTGTGACAACCAATATAGCTGTGATAGGTGCTCATAGGATTCCCATTCTGTAAAATGAAACTCACTGCGGGTGGAAAGCACTTGGCAATGAAGCATGAGACAGGGCTTTTAATACTGGCACATATTACCACCAGGCAGCCAATCAACAAGGCAGGTGCAGCCTCAGCTAATGCTTGCACCTGTGTTCAATTAACTTGCAACAGGTGGGCCTCGTTAAGACTTGTCTAACGTCTACAAAGTAAGCCCTGTTTATTGGTCTTGTAGATCGGGGGTGCCCAATACGTCGATCGCAAAGGTAGTGTGGGTAGATCGCATGGCATTGAAGCGCAAATACGGCGCACCTTTATGCGCTTAAGAGGTGCTATTGGTGTAATTGCTCCAGTTTCTCCGCCGCTGTGAGGTTCCGGCGCTCGCAGTTCACTAGCACGGTTGGTTTCAAAGGCATACCAACTATTACAAATCCAATCCAATCCACTTTATTTGTATCGCACATATTAAAAAAATAGGGTTTACAAAAGTGCTTCACACCAAACATAACATTATAATAATATAACATTATAATAAAATATAATATTACAATAATAGATGAAAGGCACACATGAGAAAAGATAAAAGGATAAAAAGCACACATAAGAATTAATACACGGTACATAAAGGCTATGGACATAATAAAAGCATATAAATCGATAAAACATAGCTCAGACTGACTCAAAAGCAAGGGAAAAGAGGTGGGTCTTTAGGCAAGACTTCAAAGTTTGGAGGGTGGGCGACAATTTGACATGGGGGGGCAGGTCGATCCAGAGCCTGGGGCTACCGCTGAGAAGGCTCAATATACAAACTGTTCAACCTACAGAGATGACAAAAAGTGTTCTTCCAAATACAAAAAGCCTCTGTATACGCTGTCTCGCAAACACCTTGGTTGGTTTTAGGGACTACCAGCAGCAGCTGAAGCAAAATGAAGTCACAAGAATGATAGAGACATAACAATACAGTATTTATTTGGGAATGGCTAATATACTTGTTGATGGCCAAACATTTCATAGAAGTAACACAACTCTGCTCACATTTCAGCGTTTTCTTTGACTTAGCCTACTTAAGAGGGAAAATATCTTTCAATATAAAAGTATTTTTACGATAAGCTTCTTAACAATTACTATCATGTTTACACAACAGTAGACTAAATACAACTCATATGATGTAATTAGGACACTTATAAAATAGAAAAACATATTTTCTATATTGCTCCAATACTTTAAATGTAGAGAGGGTTGTGTTGATAAAAAACAAGAACAGCCAAAGAGAATGGAAAGAAAACGTGGAAATATACCAAGAATGTGTACACATCCTCAATGGCTAACCTATTGTATTTAAAAGATGTTCTCACCTCAAGTATTCTTAATAGAAGACATTCCCCATTGTTATTTTCCCCAACTTGACAGGAAAGGGGAAAAAACGAGAAATTAATTATTTCCACCAAATCTTTATTCACGAAGCGGTATACAAGTTGTATTCAAAAGTATACAAAAAACTTTGCACAAGCTTGAGAATGCAAAGCCCATTAAGTCCTTTCAGAGTTCAAATAAAAATATCCCCCGATTCTTGGTTCTTCATAATTTTGTGTAATGTATCATACGGTTTTGATTTCGATAAACCAATGAATGCAAGGGAAGAGTCTGACTATTTTGATTTGTTAATCTACATTGACCCACAATTATATGTATAATAATGCTTTCCCTTATTTAGAAGACAACATATCTTCACATCAAGGAAAGTCAATCAGACAGTAACGGGATGGTGAACATGCATCAGTGTCCCAGCCTGACTTGGACCAGAGATGTCTTTTCATGGTTAGATCCATAATTTGAAAGAAACAATACACAGGTGTTAAGGACACCATGTATGATAAAAGGTTTTGCTTCTATCATTGTTGAAATTTCACTTGAATGGTTAAGGATCTCACCTGTGAAGTCATTTTTAGTTGTATAAAGGCTACTTTTATAATATAACATCTACATGTGTAGTTTGAACACTTATGACCTAGTGTTTGACCAAATATTTAGTAATGCTTACGCCAGTTTACAAAACCAAAAAGAGACAAATGCTGAAGGTTCAATGTTTTGCAGAACTGCCCAAAGTTGTAAATGCTCCATTTCAGAGTTGGTGTATGTAGTGAAGCCAGCGTCCCTCACACAGCAGATGTTACTTATTTTAGGAAAGGACATGATGGAACTTTACCTTTGACTGAAATACATTTTCCAAAAACACAACCATTTTAAAGCTTGTTCACACAAGGAAAGCTAGTGTGAACACAAAATGTTCCAATTCTAAACCTAAGAAATGGTTGAGCAATGATGCCACCATGTGGACACAAAGCCACACTATGACAACACTTCAAATGCTAAACATTAATTGCATTTATAAATGTAGGAATTTAAAGTGTGCACTTTAAGTTTAAGCATAATTTTTCTGTTTAAATTAAATGTCATTTTCTCAATATGGACTGTTCACTCATTCACAAACCAAATGGGACTTCTTGAAGAGCCTGGAATAAAGAGTCTCTTGGGTACTTGAAGGTTAACAAAAGCACAAACTGGAAAGCGTCTCTGTTCAAAACTTTTATTACAACTGTTTAAGTAAGGTAGCGTGGAGGAGTAAAAGGAGGCAGCATTGGTATGGCAAGTGAACATGGGGATGAAAAGGAGGACGGGGTGCCGGAGTGGGCGGGTGATCTGGTTTCACAGTGGTAGTTGGAGTGGTTGTCGGCTGAGTGGCTGGATATTGGGGATAGGGAGGGATCATAGGGTAAAGATGATAGTAAGGCATAGATGGTGGAAGCTGCAATGAGGGATTTGTAGCCTTTGGTTTAGTTGTAGTTGGTGTTGTCGCCGCAGTAGGTTTTGGCTTTGTAGCTGGATATTTGGGAGGATAAAGAGGATTAAGAGGATTATTGGTTTCTACACGGACCACTATTGCGGTAAACATGTTGTAACTTCCGGTTGTTGTCATCTCCGGGTATCCCGTGTGCCCGTTCTGTTGCTGATAGCTTATTATCTTAACTTAATCGATCGTTTTAAAACTCTTGATCACGGCAACTGCCTGACGTTGTAATCACACGTTACTATAACTTAAGCTCTCACAACTCTCCTTCTCTTAGCGACTGTAACTCCACAGTTGCCTACACTCTTTTCGGGTTTGCTAACGGTAGCTACTTTAGCTTGATAGCTAGCCATGGCTCTTTCCCCACCCTCGGGTGCTATTTCCTGCTCTAACTGTCTCATGTTTGGTTACTTCCCTACCTCCTTTACTGGTACCGGTACATGTGTTAAATGTAGTATAGTTGTTAGGTTTGGAGGCGGGAATCATAGCCATAGAAGCCCGGCTCCGCATCTTAGAAAGAAACTCAGCTACAGTAAAGCCCATGTTAGCCGGTGCGGACCGGCAAAGGTAGCTCCTATTAGCCGTCCCCCGGCAACTCCCGAGCAGCAGGGAGGACTGGGTGACTGTTCAGAAGGGGCATAACGCGAAACCCGCAGGTCCCCCACCAACCCGTTCACGTATCTAACAGATATTCCCCACTCAGCGAGACACCCGCTGAGAAGCCAACTCTGGTTATTGGTAGCTCTATTATGAGACACGTGAAATTAGAGACCGAAGCCTCCACAGTCACATGCATTCCGGGGGCCAGAGCGGGCGACGTTGAGGCGCATCTTAAACTGCTGGCTAAAAATAAACGTAAATACAGTAGGATTGTTATTCACGTCGGTGGTAATGATGTTCGTATACGCCGATCAGAATGCACCAAACTTAATGTGGAGTCGGTGTGTAGTTATGCTAAAACAATGTCGGACACCGTAATCTTCTCTGGTCCCCTCCCCAATCTGATCAATGATGACATGTATAGCCGCATGTCATCATTTCAGCGCTGGTTGTCTTGGTGGTGCCCAGCAAACAATGTGTCGTAAATAATTGGACAGCCTTCTGGGGAAAACCTGGTCTGATTAAGAGAGACGGCATTCATCCTACTTTGGAAGGTGCCGATCTCATTTCGGCAAACATTTCAGGGCTTTGTGGACTTAATCCATGACAAACTGGAGTTGAGACCAGGAGGCGGAGTCGCAGTCTTACACGCTTCTCTGCGCTCTCTCCTAGGCAGTCATCCATAGGAATCCCGAACCCAATAAAATACACAATATTAGCGGTGTGTGTGTCTGCCCAAGGACAAGTTAAGGTAAAACCTAATAGAGGTGTCATACATAATAACCTAATCAAAGTAAATGTAACAACTACTACAGTGCAACAAAACAGGAATATTAAATGTGGTCTCTTAAACATAAGATCTCTAGCATCTAAAGCAATATTGGTAAATGATTTAATATCAGATTATAATATTGATATATGCTGTCTCACTGAAACTTGGTTGAGACATGAAGAATATGTCAGCATAAATGAGGCCACTCCACCCAGCCATATCAATACTCATATTGCACGGGCCGAGGAGGTGGAGTTGCAGCCATCTTTGACTCAAGTTTACTTATCAATACTAAACCAAAATTAAATTATACCTCCTTTGAAAGTCTCGTTTTTAGTCTTACGCATCCGACCTGGAAAACTTTGCAGCCAATCTTATTTGTTACAGTGTACCGTGCACCAGGTCCTTATTCAGAATTCTTATCTGAATTCTCTGAGTTTTTATCAACTTTGGTTCTTAAAACAGATAAAGTAATTATCGTATGTGACTTTAATATTCATGTTGACGATGATAAAAATAGCCTTACTGTTGCATTTAACTCTATATTAGATTCTGTTGGTTTTGTCAGAGTGTAAATAAACCAACCCACTGCTATAATCACACTCTCGACCTTGTTCTGACTTATGGTATTGAAATTGAGCAACTATTAGTCGAACCGCATAATCCTGCTTTATCCGACCATTTCTTAGTAACTTTTGAAGTACTGTTACGAGACTACAAAGCATTAGTCAAAAGCTCCTGCAGCAGAAACCTATCTGTTAGTGCTATAGCCAAATTTAAGGAAGAGATTCCACCAATACTTAACTCGATAGCATG